TTTTGAAGGCAGTGAGACAAATCTGAAAAACCTACATGTATGAGTTTACTCATCAAGCGCACGCACATAAAGGCCGATTGCGTATGTATGAGTGAGGGAGGTAGATGTATGGAAGTAATCCTGCAGTTTACTCTGACATGTCAAAAGTCGTGAAAAGATATTGTACATCATACATTGTCCATAACAATTTCCAATTTTCTGCGAATTTTTCCAAAAATACAACTCTAACAGATAATTGCATATTGTGTGCATATAAATCGTTCCGTTTCATGGAAACATGAAAAAGTGATATGTTTGACATTCAACCTTAAAAAAATAATAGTTTCACGCTCCGGGGATAGATTTTGGTATATTGTTCGAGATATTGTTTAAAGTCTATACGAATACATACTCAGCTTTGTTAATTTTTTTTTGTTCAAAAATACAAACCATTGACATCTTTCTCTGGTACTATTTAACATTCAACAACTATAGTTGTTACACTCGTGCCAAGTCGAACAATTAAATTTTTCAATCGCAACAGCAGCCATCACATTAAACATGTTTATTATGCGAACCACTCCTCTTTGATAGTACAAACAAAATGATGAAATTGTTTTCATAGTTTACGCGTGGAAAAGTGACATACCGATTCAGCCACGCCGCATGACATTTCCTGGTTACTGGGTTACTAACACTGCGCATAATGATTTATGTCATTCGAATATACACTACCGCACTACAGCAACTTTTTTTAAGAGAACTTAAAATAAATAAGGCTTATATTATGACATTGATTGATTATTACCATCTATAATACGACTACTCAAGCTAAAGATGTATAAGAATCAGTGAAACACCACTTAAAAGGGAATAAATGTAAACATCTTTAGAGACGCCGATATTTTTATTAGTTCATTGCAGTCATAAATCGGCCAATTTCCTTCCGCTGCCTACTTTTTTTTGTATTATGTTCGGCGAAATGTGATACATAAGCATTCTGAGTATCAATGAAACAAAGTAAAAATTGTACGTAGTTTAGTATAAACTACTAGTCGATGTGCTAGGGTCAGATTTTTTCAAAATAATCGAAAATGGTAAAGACGGGTAACGTTTCTCTTGAAAAACGGGGTGCAGTATGTACCTTACGTGATGAGGGATTACCAATTCGAGCGATTTCTGAAAAATTGCATTTAGGACGGAACACTGTCTCAAATTTTGAAGAAAAATAGAGAAACAAGCAATGCCGCAGATCGTCCACGCTCTGGAAGACGCAGAGTTACAACTCTTCCTGAGGATAGGTTCTTCGCCTGAATTCACACACAGCTTGAACAGAACCCGGGGAAACCCTGTGTCTCTGTCCACGGTAAAACGCCGCTTACAAGGGGTTTAACCTTAGAGGATGTGTAGCGGCTTGCAAACCACTCCTGCGACCTATACATAAACTCAACCGGTTAGCAAGGACTCGAAAACACAAGGATTGGACCACCGACGACGAGTCCTTTGGTCGGATGAATCTAAATTCGAAATGTTCGGATGTCGACGACGACAGTTTATACGCCGCCAACCCCATAAAAGCATGGCTCCGCAATGTTTGCAGCCACTGTTAAACATGGAGGTGGGAGTGTAATGGTTTGGGGCTGTTTTGCTGGAAATCGAACAGGAGATTTGGTTCGTATTGAGGGTATAATGCGAAAAGAGCAGAATTTGGAAATATCGGAAAACCACGCTGTTCCCTCAGGACAAAGGATTGTTGGGAACAATTTCGAGTTTCATCAAGACAACGACCCTGAGCATTCATCTCGACTATGCCGCAATTATTTGGACCAGCAGTAAGAACTTGGTGCAATGAAAATCACGACGTGGCCTTCTCAGTATCCAGATTTGCCTCTTAGTGAGTATTAGTGGGATGAATTGGACAGACAGGTGAAGCAACAAGAGTCTACTAGTGCAGGAAGCGTGGGTATCCTTATCACCAACTATTCTTGAAAATTTGATACGTCGGATGAGTCGTGTCTGTAATGCAGTTATTCGGGCTCGTGGTGGACATTTCGTTGAATCACGAATTTAAATTAAATTTTGATAGAAATAAGTTACCAACTAATTAAGTTTCAGTGGAAAATAGTTTATTTTTTATGTTTTTTTTTTTGATTAAACACACTATTGTTTGATTTGGTTTGATTTCCCTCAAAACATCTTCTGTCTGAAAACTTTTGAGCGGTAGTATATATATCGAACGATATGCTCGGTTGATTTCAAGACTATTGTTCGTGTTGTCCGTGAATCGAATGCGGAAAACTGCTCAGATCTATTCTTTTATAGCAATGAACTATCTTTTCCTGGTATTTGTCTCTAGCTTAGATGTGCGTTACTTCAATTAAGGGACTTTTCCTATATTTTGCTACTCCATATGTGGCTGTTGATATGAAAAAACAAGTATGAATTCATCTTAAAATTATAGTTATTTTTTAAATGCTGTTTAGTGTTGACGACGTTTCGGCCACATTGATGGTCATTTTACAGTATAACTCGACTATATACGAGTATTCCCATTGACATTAGAAGTGTTACACCGAGAAAAAATAATTTCATCAACTTGTTCTTTTGGCAACATAATGACTATATTTAAGGTATGCTGTGGCAATAATGTCAACGTTTTATCTTTGTTTACCTTTGTTAAAATGTTATCTCTTAGTTTTTGTGAAGAAAGCAGTATCTGGGAGCTGATATTTTTAGTTATTGCTCTTTCATTTAATAGTATCAAGCCTTGAGTTCGAAGACGTCCAAATTATCACCATGTTAGCGACTTTGACATAGGTAGAATTATTGCCTATCCAGATGTTGGCCGCCGTGTTAATTTTCCTGCAATGACGGTAATGCGTGTGTGGATAGAAGAAGGTAGAGGAAGACGAAGAAGGCCAACTGGTCCACCGAGGGGTACCACAGAGCGTCAAGCTAGCTGCTTCAGACAACCAGCTCTAGGAGACCGTTTTCCTCCTCCGCATCAGATCGCTGACCAATGGTTTGGAGAAGAAGGTAGACCTGTTACTATGCGTACACTCTATCGCCGCATTCGAGATTTTGGACTTTTTTTCATACCGGTCACGGTTAGTGCTTCCTCTGACTGCGAACCTTTGTTGTGAATGTTTGAACTGGAGCAGAGAACGGCAACATTGGGAGGCAGAATGGCACAATGTCATTTTCAGCGGCAAATCGCGATTCTCTCTAAGTGCGCAAAATGGTCGTGGAAGGTTAAGACGCCGCCGTGGAGAACGGCGTGATATGGGTTTTGCTGTTGAGACGCATGTACACAAAACTGTTGGAGTAATGGTTTGAGAGGCGATTGCCTTTAGTAGCCGATCACCTCTTCTTTTTGTTCAAGGCAATATGACTACTGCGCGTTGTGTTGATGATGTCCTACAAACCACTTTACTGAAGTATCTAGAAAGCCGTCCACACGTCCCTTTTTAATAAGACAACGCACGACCCCATTTTGCTCGTCGTACTATGGACTTTATTCTAGAAGCAGGCGTTAATGTTTTTCTAAGGTCATCCCTTCACCGGATTTAAATCCCATTGAACATGTGTGAGATATGACGGGGAGGAGGCTATCCACCTTGCACCATCCGCCACAGACCCTGTCACAGCTAATCCACGAAGTTCGAGTTGCTTGGAATCAGGTGTCACAACCAGACATCGATCATCTCATTTTGTCGATACCTAGACTTATACAGGGTTGTATTCAGCTGCGATGTCGCCCAACACAGTTTTTTTGATATCACTTGTCAACAAAATTTCGTGAGAATGTTATCGTTTCATTTTTGATGTAAGACCTCATTGCCAAACAATCAAGTTGGAGAAATTATTTTTTTTATGTGTAACACTTCTGATGTCGCTGAGTATATTTTTTCAACTGAAAGAGAGATAAACAAAAAAAAGACCACTGTTGCGGCGGCGGATATCGTCATTCGTCATCAACAATATTTTAAACATATGTCGATCGATTCCTTTAACGGCCAGACCCACATGAATGATTATCAGCGTGAATACCACAGGCTAAGTTTCGGGTGTTATATTGAAAGTACAGGGTGAATCAACTCTTGACACTTCACTGCCACTCTCCAATCTGTCCAATTCTCTACTCCATTTAGCTTAATAACTGCCCAGCTACAAGGGTTGTCTCAAAAATAAGGTTCCCAACACTGTAACTTTGCCGCGCGTAATGCTAGGCGAAATCTGACAATACCGTCGTGCTTGTCGGCTCCCCCACCACTATCTGCGATCTGGGACCAGGGTTGTCAACTTAGTAGATTTTCTACTAGATCTGGTAGATTGCAGTCTTCATTTAGTGGGCAAATTTACGTTTTAGTGGCTAGTAGAAAATCCAGTAGAATGAAAGAATCAGAAAATTAGTAAGCCACTTTCGATTTATATCATTATGAACCTTAGTTACTCATGTCAATTTGTCAATTAAAGTAATAATTCAAGAAAGTAGCAAACTGTCATTGGGAAATATCCTATTTTGATTTAGTTGAACATCGAATCGATAGATGGCAGAACCAATGAATTAATTTGCGTATGCGTACTTCTTCTCTTAGTTCTCCTTTGTCGGAAATCAGGGGTATGAAAGTCAGATGAACGATTTTGCGCCTCGTTTTGGGACATCTATTGGGGTTGCACATCACTAACTGCATGATGTTTGCCAATTCCTTCGGTAGATGGCGCGAGAAATTCAGCCGCCATCTTTTTGTCACGTGATTTGATCACGTCACGTTCTGACCATCATCCACGGGAATCACAGACATTGTTTTTTCTTGCACAGACAATTGAAGTTTATCTCGTATACGATGATTTAGGTGATTTTTGAACATTATTTACAGTATAATTTGTGTGCTTTCTAGTAGCTATGGCATACTATTCTGCTATTTTAAGACTGCCTGCCTAATTATTTGATTTTGGTAAGTGAGCATGATACTGATACATATATGATGTAGATTACCTTGAATTATTATGTATTACAGATTACAGAACCATGCCTAAACCGCAATATACTCAAAAGTTTCGAGACGCATGGTTAAAGGACCCTAGTTTAAAAGAATGGCTGTTGGTTATTGACAGCACTTTAGGAAGGGCAGCTAAATGCAAATTTTGTAGTAAAATAATTACGAGTCATTACGCCGACCTTAAGAGCCATGGTAAATCCAAAAAGCATAAGGAAAACGCAAGATTTGACTGTATTAATAGTGAATTATTTTTATTTTTAGGAAGTGTATTTTTTATTATTCGTGCAAGGACTAAAATTAATGCGTCTATTTTTGTTTCGTTTCTAGATAAAATATATTTTTGCAATATTACTAAATGTTCTGCTTTTATTTATAGATTTACCTTTATCTTTAATACATATTTACAAAATATATTTTCACAATGTAGTATTACTAATTTGAAATAATATATGTCCAAAAATCTAAATTAGAGTAAAAACTAAAAATACATAATATGCGCACACGCCTTTAAAACCTACGTAACGTAATTAACTGCAAAATGAGGGTTAGCTATAACTAGTAGATTTTCTGGTAGATTTATGAAATTCATAATTTTCATCTATTAGATTTCTGGTAGATCTGGCAGTGTGATTTAGTAGATTTGATTACCGAAGTGTTGGCAACCCTGTCTGGGACGCTCCGCTCAGTACCGGCCCGACAGCCATGTGCAATGAATTCCGTTATCGACGTCACCGCCAGGTGCGAAATACGTGCGGTCATTCAATTTTTGTTCGCAAAGAAGTTACCACCCATAGAAATTCATCTCCAGTTGAGTGAAGTATATAAAGAAATGTGTATAAGCATTCAACATGTCCGCAAATGGTGTAGGGAGTTTTCCCAACAGCCGCACAGACATCCACGATGAACAACGAAGCGGGAGGCAGTCGATCTCCGACGAAGTTGTGACGAAGATTGAGCGAATCTTGCTCGAAGATCGGCGAAGCACAATCCCGCAACTGGAGGTTGAAATTTCTCAGGCTTCAATTGGCAGAATTCTGAAAGAAAAGTTAGGCTACCATAAGGTGTGTGCGCGATGGGTGCCGCACATGTTTTCAGAAATCCACAAACAGCGGCGCGTTGACTGTGCTCGGAAGTTTCTGAGTAAGTGCTACGAAAATACCGAAGACTTCTTGGAAACGCGGTGTCATTACGTCACTTCGGAAACAAAATAACAATCTCGTCAATGGAAACACCTCGAGTCGCCCAAACCAAAGAAGTTTAAGCAGACGCTGTCAGCATAAAAAATAATGGCAACGGTGTTTTGGAATCGACATGGTGAGCTTGAAAAAGATGAAACCGGAAATCCAAAATCGTCGTAGGGAAAAACTCTCCAAAGGCGTAAAAGTGCACCACGACAATGCGCGTCCACATGTCTCACAATAAACAAAGGACTTCATCGAGCGATTTAGCTGGGAAATCATTGCCGATCTCCCTTACAGCCCTAACATAGCACCCAGTGATTTCCATCTGTATCCAAAATTGAACGCTCACCTAGGCGGACGAGGGGTTGCAAGAAGTAGTAAAGTTTCTAAATGGGCTAGCGGCGTAATTCCTTGATGCGCGAGTGCAAAAGACACAAGTCGTTTCCAATGACGAATTCGATTTTTCAAATCAAAAATTCCTTGTGCCTTATTTTTGAAACAACCCTCATACATGACATTTCTTGATTAATTCTTTGTTAATTCATAACACCAATTTCACATGTCAGCTGTATAAATCCTAGGGATCCAACAGATATTCTGGAAAACCCTATATAGTTTTAGTTCGTGCAGAGCAAACGAGAGCATTTCATTTTTATATGTGTCACTTTGGAACAATCATTTGTGTTACGGCTAGGCCGCCCCCGCTCAACTGTATGAGGCAAATATTTCTTATAGGTGTCAATCTGAGAGTTCTTAGTCAGGACCCAATTAAAAAATGTCAAGTAGGTTGACTCTGCACTTCCCACGCAACGCCCGTCATCAGTTCATAACGGATTATGTTCAGCACAAGTTAGACCGTCTGAGAAAAAAGTTAGTTATGAACATGTATAACAGAGAAAATAAACGGATCAAGTCCGTCAAACAGGTCCATACAATGAATCCATATACAATCTTTCCCTGCCCTACCCGTAGTACCGTCCATCTGGCAACGTCGCCTCTCCTCAATACCTGATTGCATGATGGCCTAAGGCAAATGTAGGGCGAAACCTGTGATGTGTGAAATATGTCTAATAGGTGCGTAGATTTACCGCGGTGATCGGAAGTGCATTCATATACTAACATCAAAAAGTTGCGATACAACCTCCCCTTCCCTCCAAGAAAAAAAAATCAAAATTATCAGGAACCTCTGAAATGACAAAAAACGGAGTTTGAACATTTTTTATTTCATTCGTTTTTTATACCGAAGCAGCCGCGCAGGCAGAAGCATAAATGCCAGGACACCGCGGCTGCTATGAGGATCCCAAAAGCTTTGTTCCAATTCCAATTTAGGTTAGTAGAACTGGGAAAAGCCTCCTCTTGTAGAATTTTCCACAATCTCGACACTCTAGGTACACAGGAGCGGTCGTATCGGCCAGTTCTGGATTTACGAAGTTCGACACGGTTGGGATGTGAGGCGGGTCGGTCTGGCAGGCACATTGCGCGGCGGGATCATGGAGGAGAGCTCTGAGGAGCAAAACCCGTTGGCTAAGCGGTAGAAGAGATAAATCGCCAACGGCCAGTCGTTCCCGAGAGTGTCTGTTAGAGAAGGGTCATCGATTAGTCGGGATAGCCCTCCTCATCGAGCATGGATAATGTAGACGAGGCGGCAGCACTCCAAACGTATGAGCAATACTCAAGGCAAGGTCTTATCTGGGCTTTATATAGAGTGAGGAGGTCATGTGGAGAAAAGTACTTCTTAGCCCTAAACAAATAGCCAGCAGCTGATGTTATGGACGAGTGTTTTTGTAAAACGTCAAGTCGTCCGTGATCTGGACTCCGACCAGCCGAAATGAACGGCTCTTTGATAGAACTCGGTCTTAAATCGAGACCGAATGAGCACTAGAACGCTTTTTGTTCGTCAAGGTACAGTACTGTTTTGGAATCATCAAGCTGTACCAGATTGTTGCGTCCCCAAGCAGTGATTACCTCCAAATATCTCGTCAGAGAAGAAGTCGCTGCTAGTCTTCTTTTTTCCAGCTCACCGGCAGCGATCGGCTTGTCGCTCTGAATTCCTGTATGAGGAGTGCTGTCATCAGCAATGCTGTGGATTGGATTGATCGTCCAGGAAAGGGTTGTCGTTGATATGTAAGAGGGACAGTGCCGGGGCTAAGACCAATCCCTGGGGAACACCCGCGTTCACGTTGTGGGATAAAGAGGAGAACCCGTCAACTAAGACGGATACCTTGCGGCCAAACAGAAAGTCAGCTACCTATCTGCAAAGCTTCTCTGGGAGGAAATAGGAAGCTTGCATAAGAGGACAGCGTGCCACAGCAACGCTTTCGTGATATCAAGAGCAACGACATGAGCCTCACCGTAAGACTGGATGAGTTTACTCCAGTGACACACAATTTGTTGAACCAGTCGCTGGACCCTGGTGATGCACTTTCACTGTAACAATCTCTCGGAGGAAACCCTACAAATCTTTGTCTTGGACTTAGTAATAATTTTGTGGTAACATTTCATCAAAATCTGTGCTTTCCAAGACATAGAGGGAACATACCTTTTTTAATTGTGATGACATAAACAATTAATTTAGTATAAGGTAGGAAACACCCACAGGAGTGATACCGACGAAAATGAGGACAAGGTTTTTCGTGATATTTCGAACATATCATATAACATCCAAAAAACATAATCTCATTTTTCGCAGTTTACAATACTTCTTCGCAGTAGGCGTGGCAAGTAAAAGAAATGAGGTTATGTTGATTTCTGTTAGGTTAGTCAAGTCCTGGCGTTATAAGCTCCATAAGATGCTTTCAACTGTTATAGCCAATTGTGGACAAGCAAAAGCATCACTCGTAATATCAGTTATGTTCGTTTATGCAATTAGCTATGTAGTAATTATTTTTCTGTTTATGTTCCAGTTTTGACCCAATTCTGAAACTTATCGCATTTCAGGATGACTGTTTTTCAACCCAAAATGCACGCATACTTGCCTCAAAAAGGTGCCAATATATTCTCAAAACAAAACGAAATTATATTCATAGAGTTATTAGCATTCATGCAAATACTATCGGTTATATGTCAAGGAAACTTTTCACACAAAAATCCAATAATTTAAGCTATTGCAGCGTGTTTATAATAATTGTATTATTTGATCTAAATAGATTTTTTTCTAAGATACGTTTGGTATAAAGTGTTAATTAGATTTTTAGCGGTTCCATGATATATGATTATATCTGTTTAATTTGTTGCAGTAGGGAAAACGTTCATTGAACTCCCATACATAAACTAGGTACGCTATCGTTTATGCTCCTTCTTGGAACCGCAGGTTTATTTAAAAAGCAAAATAGGCCCCCAATAGTTTGTTGGAAGATAACTTTCCAACACACTTCATATTTGATCATTTTTCCCTGTAAAAGGTAGAGTCTTTGAAAATATTTTCATATTTGTATTTTCAGACAAATAGATTCAAAAGTCTTTTTATCATGTATAAAAAGCATTTTTATAAAAAATAGTCGATTAGTTGAAATAGTATTTTGCCTTGTACAAATATATTATCATCATGATTTTTATCGGATACGTAAGTCTATGTGATATCTAATGGGTTTTACATGCCGTGACAATGTGTTCCAACCTTACTTATAATTTTGTAAATTACTTGGAGGCAATAACCAAACGTTGGAGCCTAAAGCTATCAAAAGCAAGATTTAAATACAAATATAAGAAAACCTTCATTCAATTGCCTTTTCCATCGTGATCTTGTTTGGGCTGAATATTTACCTAAAACAAAGAGAAAAGTTTGTCAACATCAAAATTTTCAGCACAAGACAAAAATATAAGGCGGTATTCGCATTTTCTAATCGCTTAGAATTTTTAATGCTCTAACCGAGTCAGAAGGACGTCATAACATATTTCAGAGGCATACACCAAATCTATTAGAAGCTATTATACCTTTATAAGCGTTTAAACGAATATTATCCATGATAAGCATGACATTGAATTATTATCTACAAAAAAAAGTGTAACAAAATGATTAGTTCGAGTTAAAAATTAGGCAGCCAGTTAAACAATCGCTTTTAAATAGTGGGTGCTCTGTTACAATGTTATGCAACCAGTTCAACATGAACTTATAAGGAATCTGTATACCGTTACTACTATCTGTACATTATTTTAAAATTAGGCAACCAGTTAAACAATCGCTTTTAAATAATGGGTGCTTTGTTACAATGTTATGCAACCAGTTCAACATGAACTTAAAGGAATCTGTATACCGTTACTACTATCTGCACATTATTTAAAGCATTTGTATGACAATGAATTATTAAATGATCTTCATGTGCATACATGTTAATGTAAATCAACACATACAAAGAAACAATTAGTATGTATAATGAATATTCATATGGATATCTACAAATAAAAAGTATATATAATAATGCAACTGTCATCATATGATGCATACACTGCACAGGTATACCCAAACACCATATTTCATTTGTACTATACATGGTTACTAGTAATTTCTCGTATTCCTTGCACACGATGAGGAATATAAAATGTAATAAATCTATATGAGCAAATATTCAGTAGTTTTTATGATTTTTCAAATTTATATACCAACCATCCTAAGCTGGGTACCATTTCGAACGATATTCGTAAATAGCAGGTACAAGTACAGTTTCTATACACAATAAGCCCCTTATACACTAGTCGTGTGCTCCAATTCCGCAGTGAGCTCTTGCTCAAGTCCTGTTTTCACTGGTATTCTTTTTACCGTACGGTCTTATATCAGGGAACGCGGATTTTTATAGTCGGCGAGTAAAAAACGTGCCAGAACAAGAGAACCATAAACATACCAGAGTGTAGGAACATTGACTCATTTATATAGGGTGTTGATTCGTTGAATCATTTTAGGACAAAAAGTTCAAATAAACATGGTCCGCAAATTCTTCGTTCTCAAGATACAGAGTGTGAAAATGATTATATGAATTTTTCGTCTTAAAATTACTCAAAGAATCGTCAGTTGAATTTACGATACATACTTAAATAACACTCCGTAATTGCGTGGAAAGTACAGAGTCAACTTGATGCCATTTTTATCCGTTGGAGAACAAAACTCGCTGACAGAACCCTCTTTCAGCACTAAGTGGTGGTGGATCAAGTGTGCTTCTATCTATTATTGATCATTCAAATAGCTTGAATTATTTGCGTATTTTTCCGTTTGTAACATCGGAAAGTGGGATAGAACTCGTCCGTCTTGCCGGCCTGTATGAGTTTAGATCTAGCGAGATTCCGAAATTGTGTTGTGTCGAAAAGTAAATTGTTGTAATTTGGCGGTGGCTAGCATCACGGATGACTTAATCAGATGTGTAGATCAAGGTAATTTAGCATGCTTAGTGTTACTTGATTATACAAAGGCTTTTGATACTCTAGAACCATCTATTCTTGTGAAAAAGCTTATATACTTTGGTTTTTCGGAATCTGCAATTCATTTTGTATTAAGTTATTTCACTGACAGGAGTCAGATGGTTGTGATTGGGTCAAGTATCTCGGAGGAGATACCAGTTAAACTAGGGGTACCACAGGGTTCCATTCTGGGACCATTATTGTTCTCAATTTACATTTCTGACTTCCACGAGTACGTTGATTACTGTAGTATTCATCACTATGCTGACGACACTCAATTGTACTTTGACTTTGATATTAAAGATTTAAAAAATGCCGAATATTTGATTAATAATGATTTAATAAATTTATATAACGTATCTTGTGGCCATAATCTCAAAATTAACCCGTTAAAATCATCCGCAGTTATATTTGGACCAAAAATAAAAAAAGTCAGGCAAAAGTATTACTATCATTGAGCATTTTAGATCAACCGATCCCTATAAAAAATGAGTGCAAGAATTTAGGACTCTAGATTGATTCTGATTTGAGGTTTGAAAAACACGTTAGTCAACTGTGCCGAACATCAATCGGTGTCTTGAAGCAATTATTTCCTCATAGGAAAAGTATGAATACTGGTCTCAAGCTGAAGTTGTGCGAAACTTTAATATGGTCTAGAATTCACTACTGTATTTATGGGCCTGCACTAAGATCGATTGAGATAAGGAGACTTCAGACTATTCAAAATGCGTGTGTCAGATTTGCTTGTGGAGTGACAAAATTGGAGTCAGTGTCACATAAATATCATGAGCTGGGTGTTAAAAAATAGAAGAGCTACAAAAAATGCACGTATTGACCTTGACCCATACGGTAATCACAACACAAGCCCCTCCATATCTATCAACGAAATTTATCAGATACTCAGATGTTGATCAACTGAACACAAAGAATAAGCAAATCTTAGTTATCCCGAGACATTCAATATCTCTATTTAAAAGGTCGTACATATATACTGCTATCAAGCTATACAACGCGTTGCCTACCGAGTTCACTCACTACTCTATAAAGAATTTCAGAAAAAGATTGAAGCATTTTATCTCTGATTTCATTGCCCAGTAAGTAGACCATGGCCATGAATAGGGACTCGTTACAGGTTTTTTTCCAATTTTTTTTTATACTTTGTATAAATAATGCCGGATTATTATTATTTATAACATTAAGGAGCTAATTTAGGCCTAAATTATAGTTTTTTATTGCTAATGATGTAACATCAACAAATACTAAATAAAACTTACATCCAGACTAAAACAAATTTCACTAAATTAAGTGTTGGAAATTGCCCCTTCGGCTACAATACAACCGTCTAGCCACCTCACCATTGAATTACGCACTCTCTTGAAAATACCTGGCGTATTTTTTATTATGTCACATGATTGTATTCCGTAAATCCTCTTAACTTTCAATAGGCGTTTTGTATAATAACGCTTAAGGTGTCCCCAAAGAAAATAATCTAAGGGATTCACATTGTGCGAGCGAGGGCGGCCATAGATGTGGGCCTGCTCTTCTAATCCAGCGATTATGGTGATTTTCATCCCAAAATTGCCGCGCCATTACTGGAAAGGCTAGATAAAAGAAATTCTAAAAACCTTCGGTATTATTCTCCAATAAATCTAGGTGGAAGAAAATGGAGCCCAACGAGATGGTAACCGACAATTCCAGCCCAAATATTAAAAGAAGGCATTAGGATTGTTTTCGGCCCAATAGGATTGTTGTAGAAGTTTATGATTGAATTGCATGAAAAACAAGCTTCATCTTTAAACAATATTCGACTGGAAACCTCGTTTCCTTATCATTTTACTGTGTAAACAATCAGAAAAAGCTAGTCTTAATGGCAAATCAAATAGCTTGCACACGTTGCATATCACATTCATGGATATAGGCTGCTGGTCTCTTAAAATCTGCCACACTGTGATATGGGTAATATTCACTTCAGCTATATTCCAAGTAGTGGTATAAAGATTTGTTTCAATTTCATTTAAAACAGCTTCTTCAACTTGAACTGTACGAACAAGCCTCCCGATGACAACCGTCGATCTTTTAAAGCTGCTGAGACGTACAAAAGTTCTATTAGGCACTGCACGCTGAAGAAATATTTCATGGTAAATGCGTCTTGAGCCATTCCATAACAGAAATTCATATCTGCTATTTCACTATTAGTAAATTGAACCATATTGGACAAAAAATAACCACTAATAACTAATAGTTTAAAAAAACTTAAAAAACATGCTTTTATAGCTAAATGAACTAAAAAGTGGAAACGCTTTTTACTCTGATTTGAATTGTTCTGTTAATAACTTAAATTTTATTATAATTTTATTTTGCGGTCATTAATTATGATTGATTGTTCGACCATCTACTACTGTAATATAAACTCTTTGTAATTAAAAAGTATTTTCTACTTTTTAGTTCGGTTAGCTATAAAAGCGTTTTTTTTTTAGTTTTTTTCAAACAATAATTTATTTTTCATTTTTTAGTTCATTTATCAATTAGTTTTTTGTGGCCATGTGGTATCGAAATGTCTTAAGAATCATTTCGTAATCTAATCATTTCATTTAAAGCTTCATGGGGTTTTTTCCTGTTAACTTAGTGCAATCAAGTTCTTCAATCCGAATACCGTCTAACGATCTTACACAACTAAGTGCTACATAAGATTGTCCAGCAGCAAACAGTCGCGAGCCTAGATAAATTACTGCATCATCGACTGTACAACCTTGCATCGCGTGGACGGTCGAAGCCCTACTCAGGATTAATAGCAACATTCGTCTCTCAGCAGTTCCATAGCTGTATTTCGCTGGGAACTGTATCGATATCGGTTTAATCATGTGCACACCATCTGAACCGAAATCCATACGGACAAAAAGAAGCCTTTATACCTACGCATGTATAAGGAATGAACAAGCGGATAATGCACTACCTTGAAAAAGTATCTGCCTACGTTGTGCTGTGCCGAGTGCCCACCAACAAAAAGTAAGTACGAAGCTACACGCATGCGAATATGGCGAGATCTCTCTTACTCCCCTA